AGGTAGTTATTATTCCGGTTACACTCTGCTTTTATGCAAAAAAGTAAAAACAAACAAACTGTTCAGCTATCAAACCAGTATGTGTAGCACTGAAAAAGAGAAATATTATGTCCTATCAGTTTTTCCATCTCCCACTTAACACACACACATTTTTCCTTTACTTCTGTCCGTCTCTTCTACCTTTTTAAAAATTTATTTTTCTTAACCTCCTCCTTAATCAACTGGTCACTAACCTTCGTGAGATTATATGATATTGCTGACAGTATATGTACAAGCATACCACAGAGATACTGTAGATTCAGTTCCAGACCATCATAGTAAAGTGAATATTATAATAAAGCAAGTCATGCAAATTTATTGGCTTCCCAGTGCATATAAAAATTGAGTTTATGCTGTAGTCTATTAAGTATGCAATATTATTATGTCTAGAAACAAACCCTACATAAAATGCTAATGATCCTCTGAGCCTTCAGTGAGTTGTAATCTTTTTGCTGGTGGAAGGTCTTGTCTCAGTGTTGATGGCTGCTGACTGATCAGTGTGGTGGTTACTGAAGGCTGGAGTAGCTATGGCGATTCCTTAAAATAAGACAACAGTGAAGTTCGCCACATAGATTGACTTTCCTTTCATACCAGATTTCTCTGTAGCATACAATGCTGTTTGATAGCATTTTAGCCACAGTAGAACTTCTTTCAAAATTGGAGTCAGTCTTCTTTAAGCCTGCTGCTACTTTATCAATCAGGTTTATGGAATTTTATAAATCCTTGTTGTCATTTCAACAATGTTCACAACATCTTCACGAGGAACAAATTCCATTTCAAGAAACCATTTTCTTTGTTCACGCATGAGAGATACTTTAGGAGGCTGAGGCAGGCCGATTGCAAGGTCAGGAGATTGAGACCATCCTGGCTAACACGGTGAAACCCTGTCTCTACTAAAAATACAAAAAATTAGCCAGGCGTGGTGGGGGATGCCTGTAGTCTCAGCTACTCAGGAGGCTGAGGCACGAGAATCTCTTGAACCCAGAAGGCAGAGGTTGCAATGAGCTGAGATCATGCCATTGCACTCCAACCTGGCTATACAGTGAGATTCTGTCTCAAAATAAATAAATAAACAAGAGGCAACTTCTCATTTCTTCAAGTTTTATCATGAGATTGTGGCAATCCAACCACACCATCAGGCTCCCCTTCTAATTGTAGTTCTCTTTCTATTTCTACCATATGTGCAGTGACTTTCTCTACTGAGATCTCGAACTCCTTGAAATCATCCATGAAAGTTGGAATCAGCTTTTTCTAAACTCCTATTAATGTTGATGTTCTGACCTTCTCTCATGAATCAGGAATGTTCTTAATGGTGAACATTAGAATGGTGAATCCTTTCCAGAAGATTTTCAGTTTACTTTGCACAGATCTATCAGAGGGATCACTATGTGTGGCAGCTATATACCCTTATGAAATGAGTGTACATCTTTATCAGAGCTCTTGTGTGGCCACGTGCTATGTCAATGATCAGTAATATTTTGAAAGGAGTCTTTTTTTGAGCAGTAAGTCTCCACAGTGGGCTTAAAATATTCAATAAACCATGCTGTAAACAGAAGTATTGTCATCCAGACTCCATTGTTCCACTTAAAGACCTTAGGCAGAGTAGGTTTAGCCTAATTCTTTAGGGGTGTGGGATTTTCGGATGGTGAATGAGCATTGGCTTCAACCTAAAGTCACCAGGTGTATTAGCCCCTAATAGGAGAGTTAGCCTGTCCTTTGAAGTCAGGCATTGACTTCTCTCTAGCTATGAAAGTCCTAGATGATGTCTTCTTCCAAAAGAAGGTTGTTTTGTCTTCCTAGAAAATCTGTTTGGTGTAGCCACCTTCATCAATGGTCTTAGCTAGATCTTCTGGATAACTTGCTGCAGTTTCTCTGTCAGTACTTGCTGTTTGATTGTGTACTTTTTTGAAAAAATCGTGCCACATGATTTTTAATTACGCATAAAGATTTAACATGTGACCCAGGGACCATTTCACCGACTGCTCTGTTTGGCCACCAGTCTTGTCTTTCTCTTCAGCAATGGTGAGGTGGATACCCTTTCCTCAGGGAAGAGAAATCCATGGTTTGTTGCCCTTGCCAATAACAAAAATATTGGAAAGCCGAGTGGCAAAGCTGTTTCTATTGGCATCTTTCACGTGAACCACATCGAAAGATCCAGGGTGCCTCTCTTGGTTGGTAATCAACACCAGTTCTTCCCAGGTTAGCACCCTCAGTCACCATACACAGGTTACCAGTGTCAAACAATGAAATCAGTAATTTTGCCAGTCTCCAAATCAGTCTGAATGGTATCATTCACCTTGATGGGGGATCAGGGTAGTGAATGGTTCGAGCATCATGAGTCACCAGATCAGAGATTCCTTTTGTGCCCATGAAGATTTTTCTCACTTTGCACAATTTGTACTTGGCCTCCTTAGGTGTAATTCAGTGTACAGCAAAGCAACCCTTGGTGTCATAGATCAGACGGAAATTCTCTCCCGTCTTGTCATCGATCTTAATGAACCACTGCATGCAAATCTTTACTTCATCTCCTGTTAGGGCATACTTAAGTCTCCTCCTTAGGAAAATGATGAGGAGGAGACAGTCTCTCAACTTTTGGGGACCGGTGGATGGATGAGGAGCAAACACACCGGTCAATTTATCCAGCATCCAATGCTTTGGAGCTGCCACCTGCTTCAGATGCGTCTTGGGACCACGAGCCATGGCTGTGTTAGGCAAGGAAAGAGGACCTCCATTTTCTGGTGAGCATAGAAATTCTGATTATGTACTTTTATGTTATGGGGATGGCTTCTTTCCTCAAACCTCATGAACCATCTCTACTAGATTCAAACTTTCTTCTGCAGCTTCTCCAGCTTTCTCAACCTTCGTAGAATTGAAAAGAGTGAGGGCCTAGCTCTGAATTCAGCTTTGACTGAAAAGAATATTATGGCTGGTTTGATCTATCTAGACCTCTCAGACTTTCATCATATCAGCAATAAGGCCATTTCACTTTCTTATCACTTGTGTATTCCCTGGAGTAGCACTTTTAATTTCCTTTAAGAACCTTTCATTTTGCATTCATAACTTGGTTAACAGTTTGGTGCAGGAGGCTCAGCTTTCAGCTTATCTCAGATTTTGACATGCCTTTCTCACTAAACTGAATCATTTGTAGCTTTCTTTTCTTCTATTTCTAATTGATACCTTATAATTATACATATTTATACATACATATTATACATATACATTGTAATTATACAATTTTCTGTTTTGATGCAGATATATGTTGTATTGATCAAATCAGGGATTTAACATGATGATCACCTTATACATTTATCATTTCTTTTTGGTGAGGACATTCAAAAGCCTCTCTTCTAGCTCTTTTATGATCCACAGTACCTAATCATTTCTAGCTTTTGATTTAGAGTGAGGGATGCAGACTCTTCCTTTTACTTGAACACTAAGAGGCACTGTAGAATTATTAACTGGCCTAATTTCAATATTGTTATGTCTTAGGGAAGCAGGAGACCTGAGGGGAAGGAGATGATAGGATAGCAGCTGGTCAGTAAAGCAGTCAGAACATACACAATTAATTTCACTGTCCTATATGTGTGCAGTTTATGGTGCCCAAAACAATTGCAATAGTAACATCAAAGCTCACTGCTTACAGGTCACCATAACAAATGTAATAATAACGAAAATGTTTGAGAGTTACTAAAATGTGATGGAGGCACAGTGTTGGAAAATAGCTGATCTTGTTTTACTTGTATTTCCTTACTCCACCTCATATTGTTTTATTACTTTTTAAAAAAATATATTTATTTTTGCAACAGGGTCTCACTCTGTCACTCAGGTTGGAGTGCAGTGTTGTGATCTCTGCTCACTGCAGCCTCCATCTCCTGGGTTCAAGCAACCCTGCTGCCTCAGCTGCCTGAGAAGCTGGGAATATAAGCATGCACTACCATGTCCAGCTAATTTTTGTATTTTTTGTAGAGGCAAAGTTTCACCTTGTTTACTCAGGTTGGTCTGGAACTCCTGGGCTCAAGTGATCTGCCTACCTTGACCTCCCAAAGTGTTGGGATTATAGGCATGAGTCACCCTGCCCAACCTCATATCATTTTAAAGCAAATCCCATACATCAAATCATTTCATTAAAAAAAATTTGAGTATATTTTTCTAAGAAATAGGGAATTTTTAAAAACTGTAATATCATTACACTTAAAACATCAGTAATAGTTTGTAAGACACTTTTGATTGAGTTTCTATTTTAATTGAATAAATTTTTTTTTTTTTTTTTTTTTTTTTTTTTTTGAGACAGAGTTTCACTCTTGTTACCCAGGCTGGAGTGCAATGGCACGATCTCGGCTCACCGCAACCTCCGCCTCCTGGGTTCAGGCAATTCTCCTGCCTCAGCCTCCTGAGTAGCTGGGATTACAGGCACGCGCCACCATGCCCAGCTAATTTTTTTTGTATTTTTAGTAGAGACGGGATTTCACCATGTTGACCAGGATGGTCTCGATCTCTTGACCTCGTGATCCACCCGCCTTGGCCTCCCAAAGTGCTGGGATTACAGGCTTGAGCCACCGTGCCCGGCAATTGAATAAATTTTTTTTAAGGCTTTAGGAGCTTTTAATGCTTAGAGTGAAAAAAACACAGGCTAGGTTTTTCATAGTCATTGATCCATCTCTGACAAGGTGAGAATTTTCCCTTACCCTGGCCACAGATGGAAGCCCAGACTCTCCCCTAGCAAGGTATCCAGAGTGGAGAGGGGCTACCAGTGTAGTGCAGTGCAGTGAATCCCAACCCAGAGGCAAGAAAGAAGAGTATTGTAATGAGCACCCAGAAGCCAGGCCCATGCAAGGCACTTTCAAGTGTTATCTCAATTAATCCTCACACCAACCCCAAAAGGTAGGCATCCCCATGTTACAGATGAGGAGCCTGAGGCATGGAGAGGTTTCTCAATTTGTCCATCAAAGAGTTCACAAGTCTCAAAGCTGGGATGAAAATGCAGGTCTGCTGACTTTCACTCTGCCACATCGGATTTTTCCTCTGATCCAGCTGCAGCCTCCCGTAAGAAGTTCACTCTTAATTTCATGTCCTATGCCTTGTCTTCGTCCCTGTGAGGAAAGGGGTCAGCCAAAGCCAGCTGTTCTGTAAGGATGGGTTTCCTCTAAAATAGTAAATGTGACCTTAGAAATTGCTGTCGAGGGCACTCTCCACTGAATAGCCTCCCAAGGAAACAGTGAGGTAGAGCAGTCTGCAAGCACAAACACACACCTTCTGTAGATTCTCTACAAAGTGGGTCCCGTGAAAGGGACAATGTTCAAAGGTAAAGAAAGCAGGAATCAGCTGGGCGCAGTGGCTCACGCCTGTAATCCCAGCACTTTGGGAGGCCAAGGCAGGTGGATCACAAGGTTAGAAGTTCAGGACCAGCCTGGTCATGATGGTGAAACCTCATCTCTACTAACAGTACAAAAATTAGTGGGCTGTGGTGGTGGGTGCCTGTAATCCCAACTACTCGGGAGGCTAAAGCAGGAGAATCGCTTGAACCCGGGAGGTAGAGGTTGCAGTGAGCCAAGATCGAGCCACTGCACTCCAGCCTGGGTGACAGAGCAAAACTCTGTCTCAAAAAAAGAAAGCAGGAATCAGGAGGGCAAACTGGAGTAGTGTCAAAACTGCCACGGCAGGTTGGAAGACAGTTAAACATATCAAAGAATACGTTTCCCAGCGACCAGGGAGCACAGGAGGACCTTTTGCTCCAGTCCAGGAGATGTGTTGTTATCTGCTTGCCCAAGAATGACTTCGAGGTCTTGAATGTGTCCCATGCCGTGCCCCAGGGGCACTCATTTAGACAGCAGTGGCAGCAGCCCCAACTCATTCAGTCTTTCCTTGACCACTGCCTCCCAGCCCTTGTTGGTCTATGGGTTATGGGGAGAGGGATGCAGGAGCCCTTCCACCTGGACCTCTGGCATCAGGCCTGCCATTGCCCGTCATGCCTGCTGCTCTGCCAGTCGCCCAACTCCCACCACCAGCCGCACCCCCAGCAGTTGCACCTGCTGGCAGAGGCCTGCATCACAGATCCCAAGAAGCTGTTCTTGCTGCTTGGCAGGCAGCTCAGCAGGGGTAAGGCTGCGCCCATTGGGAGCCAGGAAAAGCAGAGGGCGTAGACTGTGGACAAAGCAGTGATGGAAGAAGACGTCAGACTGTCCACAGAGGTTCCTGAAAAACCCCCAGAATCGGGCACCATTCACTTCTGACCGTGGGCATTCCAGTCCCAGCACTGGTGGCTTAGGGTGCTCTTGGGGAGGGGTCAGCACAATCCCCCCAATGCCCAACCAGTCCCAGTCCATGCTCACTTCCCCACAGGGTACCCCAGGCTGGGCCATGCCAAAAGGTCCAGGGTTCATGCCCAGAAAGAGCGCTTCCTTGGGGCCCCGGCAGTAGCAAGTCACATAGTTGCGATGTGGCTCCCATGCATACTCCACAGCATTGTAGATGATGCCTACAGGCTCTGAAAACTGTAGTTGACTCAGCTCAGCATTGAGCCGAAGCTCCTCCTCCAGGAAACTCTCAGCCACGCTTCCAAGGCTGGGCTGGAGCTCCATCAGTGCACCTGCAGGCTCATGGGTGGACCCTAGCAGGAAAGCCTGGGGCATATGGCCATGCCACTGTCACCTGGTCCAGCTCCCCATCCTGTTTCTGTTTCCTTTCAATTGAATAAATATATATTCTTTACTAGAATGGAATGTAATAGAGGCCTATGATTTAGCAGGATGTAAATTTGGTGAAACATTACAAAGAATCATAAATAGAGACAACATATTTGATAAATTTTGTCTTGTTAAAAATGTTTGATGAAAAGCCTAAATCAAGCCGAAAGATACTGAGTATTTATAAGTTTTAATATTAACAAAGCTAAAATTAAGAATATGTTCTCTTCAGCAGATGTTGCTCTGAGCTTACCAGGTATATGAGTATACTTAGAAAGAATATTTTCAATTAAAATTATTATGTCCCCTAGAAAAGAGTCAGTAAAAGCTTTCAACAGTTTTAAATGTATAAACAATGAATTTGACAATTAACAAAAAAAAACAACAACTTTGAAGTAGCAGGTAATCTTATAAAAAAATTAGACACTAAGATCATATTGAAAAAATATATTAGTAAAATGTCAGTGACATCGTATTAACATCAAATATGACAGAAACACCGATTAAAATGAATGTCTGCTCAGAAGAGTTAATTTTAATTTTGTAATAGATTGTGGAAGTGTACAAAATTATAATTGTAGAGCTTTTTAATGCTCCATTGTTTTTAAATGTTCACATAATCAGCATTAAAAAAATTTTAGGCCGGGCACGGTGGCTCAAGCCTGTAATCCTAGCAGTTTGGGAGGCCGAGGCGGGTGGATCACAAGGTCAAGAGATCGAGACCATCCTGGTCAACATGGTGAAACCCCATCTCTACTAAAAATACAAAAAATTAGCTGGCCATGGTGGTGCGTGCCTGTAATCCCAGCTACTCAGGAGGCTGAGGCAGGAGAATTGCCTGAACCCGGGAGGTGGAGGTTGCAGTGAGCCGAGATGGCACCATTGCACTCCAGCCTGGGTAACAAGAGCGAAACTCCGTCTCAAAAAAAAAAAAAAAAAAAAAAATTTTACTTTGGCCAGGCGCGGTGGCTCAAGCCTGTAATCCCAGCACTTTGGGAGGTCGAGGCGGGCGGATCACAAGGTCAAGAGATCGAGACCATCCTGGTCAACATGGTGAAACCCCGTCTCTACTAAAAAGACAAAAAATTAGCTGGCCATGGTGGTGCGTGCCTGTAATCCCAGCTACTCAGGAGGCTGAGGCAGGAGAATTGCCTGAACCCAGGAGGCAGAGGTTGTGGTGAGCCGAGATCGTGCCATTGCACTCCAGCCTGGGTAACAAGAGCGAAACTCCGTCTCAAAAAAAAAAAAAATTTTTTTTACTTTAATATAGTTTTATTTTTCAATAAATAATTTTATTTTTGAATATGATTTTTTAATAGAATCATCTTATAAGTCTCCCGATGGAATAAAAAATTTATTGATTAACAGTTTGTTGGTCAATAAACAGTTTTTTTCAAACTGTATAATTTAACTTATTTTTTTTTTTTAGTGTTCTGATTAACTTTCAAAAGTGTTACAGTTTGGACATTATATTATGTGGTTGCCTAACTAAGCATTATCAAGTACTTGTATATCAGATATGGATGTGGTCATGAGTTGTGCTATGTCAGCCTATCAGCAGAGAACAGAGAGTTTCCGCTGGGAAATGATAATGCATAGAACTAGTTTTCAAAGGGCCTTAAATGCCCTGTATCAGGATTATCTAACCCTGTGGATGTGGGAGCCTATTGTGGTTTTGAATTAATAAATGATATGACAAAAGTAGTATTATGGGAAGTTTAAATAAGGAATGAATATCATGGGTGAGTTATCAGTGGCTTTCGTGGTAAGCATGGGAAAGATAGAATGGCCAAAGCCTCATTACAAAGGAAATTTTCTGGGACTTAACTCATTGGGCTGGCAGTATTGAGGGAGACTTTGGAATTAGAGAGGAGGCTAGTTTTCTCAATTGTCTGATTAAAAAGGAGAATATCTTTATCAATAGCTGTAGGGAATTTAGGAGGAAGGGAAAGCATCTTTTGCCAGCAAGGTGATGTGGTTTTGGATGTTGAATATGAGGAGATTGTGCTATATTGTAGCAGTGACGGTTGCTAGTCCATTGGAGGTAAAAGCCCGAGTGAAGCCCAGTGGTGAGGTCAGAACTAAGCATTCAGATGGGGCTTTTCTCTGGAAGTTAATTGAAGCTGTGAAAGTGAGTTCTTCACAGAAAACTGTGTTGGAAAAGAGTAACAGGCAGTGTCCTGAGCTTTGGACATCTCCTGCAGTTGGAAGAAGACAGGAGAAATGGGAATCAGAGTACACCAGAGTCTTGGTCAGAAGGATAGAAGGAAACCCCAGCAAGGGGTTCATGGCAACTAAAAGAAGAGCAAATGTCAGTGAGTTATGTCACACGTAGTGATAAAAATCCAGAGGGCTATAAAGAGGTCATTGGATTTGGAGCTCACTGTTCAAAAACAGATTCAGGAGAGTAAAGGGTGAGTGACAGATGAAAAAATGGTGATAGCATCTATAAACTGTTCATGTTAGGAACACATCAGAGAGATAAGAGTCAAATGTAGAGTGTTGTATCAGAGGTGCAGAAACGTCAGGTAAAACATTTCAAGACACTGGAGACCCTTACATGGAGGAAGGCAGAAATGAAAGACTCCAGTGGATAAAGGAGAGATTGAATATTTTTAAGAGAGAGGGGAGATAAATAGGGAATATCATTCTAGAGGAGAATGGAATGAGAAGAGATGAAGGTATTAGTTTTGGAAATAAGGAATACTATTAAAAATGAGACTGGAAAATGAGAACATTAACATTATAATAGCCATTTCTATTCATTAAGCATCTATATTCTAAGCTCTTATATAATTATGAACTCTTTGTAAACCATTGAGGTATTGAGAGGGATACAGGAGAATTGTGTTAAGACACAGACTCCTGCCCTCCATGGTTTATGTGGGTTAAATGGAGAGAGGAGGCATGAATAGCATTGTGTATAACCAAGGAGTTGAGTGAATAGGCAACATGATTTGGGTGCCTGGCGATGCTTTTGGGTGGCCTTATGCATAAGGATGTGAATGGTCAGAAAAAGCCTGATGGAAGTGAATGTTGGTATGCAGTACAAGGAATGGTTGGGATTTGGATAGGTAGAAAAAATTGGAAAATATGTTTCAAGGAAGGAGACTAGCAGATGTAAAAACTAACCTTGCAGAAAGCAGTTTCTTGGTAACTATCAATTTTGATGGTTTATGTTGTATTCAGTTATAATAATGATAATAGCAACTAATGTTGAGTATTTTAGTGCCAGCTACTGTTCTAGAAGCATTTTCCATATATTTTTAATTCTCTGCAGTCACTGAAGTACTTATTGTTTTTACCTTACTTTCCTAAATGAAGAAATAGAAGGTTAAGTAATTTGTACTAGATTTTACAGTTTATGAGGGATGGGGTTGGGCTTTCAACCTGAGCTTTCTGATCCCAGAGCTCTCGCTCTTAACCTTGTCATGATTTTGCCTTTGAGGATATCATCATATGCTAGGAAGTAATGGCAGATTTGATTGAGATCAAGTTATAGGAAGCCCTGAATACCAGGCTGTCAGGTTTGAACTTTTTTCATCCTTTAATGAAGCGCCATCGGGGCTTTCATCAGAAACGAAGTGAGGTTATAAGATTGATGTTTTGGGACCATCCAGCACATGTTAGTGAGTACTCTTTTTGAGAACAGGGATTTAACCGAGCCAGCCTTTCCAAGGCCATTAATATGTATTAGACCAGACTTCTTATGATCAAGTACTCTGGCATTTTAATCATCCTGGCGGTTTGTACATACTGCCCTTCCTTGATTTAACTTTTTCATTCATTTTAGCTTTTGAAAGGATAAAATATTTTTATTTGAAATGGATTTATATAGTTTCTGTTTTGAACTTATATTATTTGTGGTAGGAAGACTCGAGGTTGGAACTCACATTCCAGTAGAGAGGACAGGATGAACATGTGAAAATAATATGTAATGAAAAAAGACATTCTTTCCTTTTTATTCTTCCTTTCTCATATTGGTAAGCAGTACAGAAGGAAACTCTTAAGGTGTAACTTGCATAACTGCCAAGAAATGTGAGCACTGTGGTAACATTTGGGCTGTAGCTGTGACTGATGCATAGTGAGGAGGCTGAAAGCTTTGCTACCATAGACCCGATTTCAAATTCTGGTAATCCCAAGGAGGATAACAAAGGCAAGTCTCTTCATCTTTCTGAGCTTCTAAATAATGGAGTGTATAATCTCTACCTGGATTTGCTGTTGGGCAAAATTAGGGCCAATATTTGTTAGGTGTCTAACATATTTCCTGGCCCATAGTAAGTACACAGTAATAGATGTTACATAATGGTTCTTTTCTTTTCTGCCTTTTGCAGTGTAGAAAACCATTGTTGCCCCATTATCTGTAGCCTAAAATTAGGGAGATATATCTAACAGGAGAATCTCACATGCAGATAACATATAAACACCTATGTTACCTTGCATTGTGAATTACTTGAAAAGACTAGGCAAATATAAAGACCAGTGGTAGCCAAATCTAGACCAAGAATTAAAAGGAGGGTATTCAATAATTAATAGCCTAGAGTAAAATAAAAAATATGTATAAAATTTAGTTGATCTGACTTGGCGTGGCAACTCACGCCTTTAATTCCAGCACTTTGAGAGGCCAAGGCGGACAGGTTATGAGGTCAGGAGATGGAGACCATCCTGGTCAACATGATGAAACCCTGTCTCTACTAAAAATACAAAAATTATCTGGGCGTGTAATCCCAGCTACTCGGGAGGCTGAGGCAGGAAAATTACTTGAACCAGAACCCAGGAGGTGGAGGTTGTAGTGAGCCGAGATCATGCCACTGCACTCCAGCCTGGGCTATAGAGCGAGGCTCTGTCTAAAAAAACAAAACAAAACAAAACAAATTTAGTTGATCCTTTATTTTAAGGGATGACGCTGAAATAGAAGAAATAAAAGAAATCTCTTTGGAGAGATC